TGGCAGGAGAAGGAATGTGATGGCTGATGGGGGCAACACTGGGAGCTGTGGGGGGTCAACCAAAGCTCCACAAGGGATGTAGAGGCTGAACTTCACAGCAAGAAAAGTGCTAAAGCATTTCAGCCTGCACAGATTTCCCAGGGCACATTAAGGACTCCTTGTTGGCTTCTTTTTTTTCCTTTTGCAAAACCTGTAATATTTATGACACCCCAACTCCCGTTCCCTGCAGGCAGCTGCCCTCCCCTGCCTGCAGTGAATTCCTGCTGCCAGGAGCAGAGCTGGGGGGGCACCCAGCCTCACCCGAGTGCTCCTGCTGCCCGGCAGCTCTGGGCACGGCCAGAGGAAACAGGGCCTTTCCTGTCTGCAAGGAGCACTGAGATTTCCAAACATTTCCTTTCCCAAACTGAGCTGCAAAGAAGAAAGTTGGGGAAGGCTTGGGAAATTTGCTTCTGCTTGGCCAGGAAAGGTTGTTCTGGGAAGATTTGAAACCTTTCTTTGCATATCAACCTTTTCCCTTTGGTTAACCTCTCACCACAGAATGCTATTACCTCTCCAAAGGTTTTGCTTCCCATCTAAAAAAACCTGGAAACTTTTTTTTTCCAATGCACTTTTTCTTCACTCAGGAAATGTTTTGGAGCTGTTTCCTACAAACAGGTTTTGTTTTGCTTGTTTTTTTTTTTTTTTTTTTTTTTTTCCTGAAAGAGGGGAAAGAATATAAATCCAATCACTTGGTCTAGAGCATCTGCCTGGTGCCACGTTGGGGAAGCACCACTGGGAGCATGTTCCTTTTTCCAGAGGTGCCCCCACATCAAAACACAGAGGTTTTTCCAGAGGTGCCCCAAACACCCAAAATACAGAGATCAAGAGGCTCTAATTCCCTGTTCATTCCCTGTTCATTCCCTGTTCATCCCAGCCAGGATGACTTCATCAAGGCTGTTGTGTCAGTGTTCCCACCCCTATGTGAGCTCTGAGCTGGGATGGCTGGGGCTGCCCTGGAGTTGTCACTTGCCACCCTGAGCATCCCGCTTGCCCCTGGCTATGCCACAGCCTCAGCCTTGGGAACAGCGAGCCGGGAGCTGAACGCTGCCGAGCCGGGCTGGCTGGCACATGAGGTTTTAATATTTGGGTGGGTGATGTCATCGAGCACTCCATAACACTGTAAAAAATCCAGAACGTCTATAAAGCTGATCCGTGAACCTCCAGCAGAACACACACACACACACACACACACACACACACAGGGGTGTGTGCACATGGATATGCACATGGACACATGGACAAACACACATGGACATGGAGATGCACACACACACACACATGGATGCACCTACATGAGTGTGCACTGACATATCCACAGAGAGATGCACGCTTGGATACACAGGGAGGAACACGTGGATGCACGTGTAGGATCAGAAACACAAAGGAACATCAAAGGAGATGCACAAAAAGGAGCAGCACACACGTGCAGAGGTGCACACACAGAGCTACACACATGCACACACACCACCCACCCAGATGCAGCACACGGATATCCAGGAATGTGCACACACACACACACACACAGAGCAATGCCTGCACACATGGATAATGCACACCGGGATGGATGTGAGCATGGATGCATGCAGTGATGCAGGTACACACAGATGCACAGGTGCTTGCACACTGATGCACACCAGTGCTTGCACATGTACAGGTTTGCACACTGATGTGTTGGGACGCACGAACAGTTGCACACGGGTAGAATCCACCGCCCTGCACCCCCAGGGGACATAGAGCAGATGCCACCTGCCCATAAAGCCCAGGTAGGACCTGGCATTGCCTCCCCCTCTCCCTGCATCCTGGGAAAGCCGGCAGGATGGGCTGTTGAGTTTTCCATTTACCTGTCAAGTACCTTCTCCATATTTCTGCTGTAACGACCTGCTAAAAGCCCCTCGATCCTCCTCCCCAGCCCAAAACCATCCGGCCTTGAGCTTTGGAGAGATTAAGTCATAAAAATCGGAAGGGGCTGTGCAGTAACAGCCCCGGCCTGAGCCATAACAGCAGTGAAATCATCCCCAAACTATGTCAGCTCCAGCCATTTCCAGTCCCACGTCACACCTGAGCCACCGGCATGCAGTGAAAGAAAACACTGGGGGATGGTTTCCTGGCCCCAGAGCAGCTGTACGAGGACAGGGGCAGGGGAAAGATAAAAATAATATGTATGTTAAAAATATATAAAAGTAACATATAAAATACATAAAAACATAAAATACATAAAAATATAAAAATAAATTTCAGTGTATAAAAATAATACAGATTAATACAGAATGAATATATAAGATATGAAACAAGATATAAAATTATAAAAATAGTATGTAAAATAAGTGGTGTGGCTAAAGCTCATCAAGGAACCAGCACCCTTCCCAAGCACCCAGCACCTCTGCCGTGTTCAGCTGAGCCCTCTTCCCTCCTGATGGAGCTGGATCAGCCCCTGTGCCACCAGTGTCACCAAACTCTGGATTTGGAAGTGTACAAATCCTGTCCTGGCCATGGCTAAACCATGAGGCTGCAGCAGTGACACTGTGGAGAGGTACCTGCCCAAACCTCTGCTGTACCAGCACAAGCCAGGTTGGTTTGGGACAATTCTTGATAAAGTTGATATCAAAACAGTGAGTTTAGGTGAAAAAGGCTGTGTGGAACACTGAATGATGATAGGAGGTGTCATCTTTTGGAGTCTGGCACAGTTCTTTCTGCCTGCTGATATCTACTCTGGTTTTTTTCCTCTCTCCCTTCTCTTTTGTTTCCCTGTGACCTGGTGTGAGGCTGCCCAGCGAGGTGGGGCTTTCACAGTGGCTGTGGCTTTAATGTGGTGTCTCCTTGGTGCAGTTATGGATGGGAATGACCGTCCATTGCAGCTTTCAGTACCTGCTGTATCTCCACAGCTGCATCCTGGGGCATGAATCACAGCACAGTTTGGGCTGGAAAGGACCTTAAGAGTCATCAAGTTCTAACCCCTTGCCATGGGCAGGGACACTTTCCACTAGACCAGGTTGCTCCAATCCTAATCCAACCTGGCCTTGGACACTTCCAGGAATGGGGCATCTCTAGCTTCTCCAGGAACCTGTGCCATTGCATCACCACTCTCATTCTAAAGACCTCTCTTATCTAATCTAAATTGACCCTCCTGCCATTTAAAAACCACGGTGAGCTGGCACAGCCTGAACAACGGGGAAAGAAGGGAATTTCTGCTGCAGAAAAGTGACTTCACATTAGCTCCACGATGTGATGGACAGCGGCTCTCCCCAGCACGGCAGGGCAGCTGGGTGAGGACCGGCCTGCTCACCGCTGCTTTGAACCGCAGGAAGTGACCGCATCCATGCCTGGAAGGTACCTGGAAGCTAGGGGCTGGAAAATAACTCAGGGCTTTCTTCTTCTCCCCCCTCCCTCATCTCCTTCCTCCCAGGCCACTTCGGGGAGCAGTGCGGGACGGAGCCCATAGCCGGCTGCTTCCTTTCATAGTCATCAGCGGCGGCACAGGATGCTTCTCATTTGGTGTTGTGTTTGTTTGCTGCAGCGCGGGTTCTGGCACCCGCCGGGCGCCCGCCAGCCCTCCCGTGTAGGTAGTGAGGTCATTTTTCCATGTATTCCCCCTTTTTACATACTGTATATGGAAAGACAATGAAGCGCCTTTGTGGCGTTCCATGGGAACGCGTCGCCAGCCCCCGGAGTGGTCCCGTTTATTAGCGCTTCACATTCAACAACAACAAAAAAAAGTGACTCAGGATTGAGTCCTGTTAACACTAATGTGAATTTAATTTAAGAGAAGCTTGAAAATTAATGTCATTTGTTAAATATCCATTTCCCCTAAAAGGCAATTCTCTGCCAACAACAACAACAAAAAAACCTCTTCTATTCAATTTTTAAATTTTTTTTTTTTAAACAGCCTTTTTTGGCGATATCAGCCTGGTTTAAATCACTCGGCGCTCAAGGAACGGATGCCACCGGGTTTTAAGCAACAGATTGTTGTTCCTCCTTTTCAAATTGAACAAAAAAGCTCCCTGTAAATCATACAGTGATTCACAGGAGGGGGATGAAGCTCCGGCAAAGCACCAGCAGCTCCGAGCAGGATCCGGCTGAGCATGGTGACGGCTCGGCAAGACCCGCCGCTGCTGGAGCCGGGAAGCAGCCAGTGAAGGCCAGGAGGAGGAAAGGCTCCGGTACACGGAGTTTTCTTCCAGTTCTGAGGATTCGAAGAGAAAGCATTGGAGCAGCCTGGCTCTATTTTTGGGGGGTTTCATGGGAAAACAGGGTGAGCCACGGGGATCGATGCGCTGCCAGCCTGCCAAAACAATGACCACACCGAGGCTCGTTTTGGAGGAGGATATCACATGTTTTATTATATTTTAATCTGAAAACAGCTGCTTTTCCTGCTGGGAGCATCTCTGGGTGGCACGGTGCTGTGGGGCTGCTGCCAGAATCCCATCCCATCCCATCCCATCCCATCCCATCCCATCCCATCCCAAGCCACTGTCCCGTGCCGAGCTGAGCAGAGCAGTGCTCGTGGAGCCTGAGGCGGCTGACAGAGCAGGCGGGCGGCAGCTTGGAAATTAATACATTTGCCAGGTTGTCAAAACATTAATCAACGGATACAAAAATCTGGAAATGGTTGGGACAACATGTATTTGCGGAAAATATGTGTTCACACAACAAGCACACAAGATGGGAACAATTATATGAAGATGTTTTAATAATTAACCAGAATAAAACAGTTTGCTCTCCATACAGTTCTAGACAATAAAAGTGTTTGCAGTCATATTTTTCTTTTGTACAAAATTCCAGTCAGTTGTTCCTCAATATTTACATTATCATTCCCTTTTCACAAAATATCTCCTTTTTTCCCCCCTTCCTTTTTTTTCCCCTTAAATCCAGCTTTGCTACATAAATGCTTTAGATCTCATGGATATCCCTTGATTTCTTTTTAAAAAGTCTAATAAAAAAACCCCCAAAAGACATTAAATACCATTTTATATATAAAAATGCTTAGTAAAAATATAGTTTTGTTGCCCAATTAAAATATATTGCTGAGAATACAGTAAAAACTGTCCTAAAGCCCACCCCTAATGGGCGCCGACTCTTTAACAGCCCCGGCAAAGTCTTTCTAAAAGCTTTTTCCCTCTAAAAGTTTGCCTGTTCCTTGGGTTAAATACTGGGGACAGGTCACACCTTGGCTCATCCTGATGTGATTGTTTCAGGCAGGATTTACTGGAATTGGCTTGAAAATGCCCTTTGGAGCTGGCGGGTGCTGGAGGTGTGCCCTGCCGAGGGCTGGAGCGGGGAGCACGGCGGGGAAAGGCGTCTATCTGTGTTATATAGTTATACGGTATATCAGTGAGTTCAGCATGGTCTGTCTCTAAAAAAAAAAATTTTAAAAAAAATCAAAATAAAAAAGAACAAACAAGAAAGCGATGCATTTAATGAGATACTCTAAATATGATGGAGCTCGTGGTTAAAGGAGGATGGCTTTTTGTTTTTAGAGGAGAGTCGGGGCTCTCCTGGTGTGCGCATTGGATGGTGGGGTCAACCTAACCGGTGATGCAGGGGCTATAGTAAACAGCACTGCTGGCATCGGACAGGGCAGATATCAAACTGCTCTCCTCGCAGGAGATGCTTCTAGGAGTCACTTTGGACAGGGACACATGGTAAGGGAGGCCCGAGGCTTCGGGACGAGTCCTGCTCATGTTCAAATACTGGTCAAACTCGTTGCGGTCAACGTCTGTCCAGAGCTCGGTTTGGTTCAAGTGATCCACGCTCTCCATGTGGTGGGCTTCAGGCGGGGGCGACAGCTGGCCCAGGTGGGCAGAAAGCCCATTCTGAGTTCCTGAGCACATCTGGTTGTAGTAAAGGCTGGAGGGATGGGGAGTCCTCATGGCGTCGGCCAAGTGTGAGGGGGTCTGCGTGTAGGGCACGGCCACGTCCCGCCCCATGCACTTCTCCTGGGGAAACTCCATCTGGTGATGGTGGTGGTAGCCGCGAAAGGGCATCATGTTGCAGTCATCCTGCATGTGAGGAGGGAAAAACGCCGGCTCGGTCTGTTCCAAGACATCCAAGGGAGACATCTCAGGAGTTGGCAAGCCATAGTTTTCAATATCCGACCCCATGGAGTGGAGTTCTCTGAAGTGGTTAAGTGGGGGAGGCTGGGGGTGGCCCGGCTGGCTGCCGCCATGGTGACTCATGCTGAAGTTGTCACTGCAAGGCTGGGAAAGGTTATGCAGGAGGATATTGGGTTCCATCCTCTTGATTTTCTTGGCTTGCTTCTTTCTCCTTGGGCGGTATTTGTAGTTGGGGTGATCCTGGAGATGCTGGATTCGCAGTCGCTCTGCCTCTTCTACGAAGGGACGCTTGTCGCTGGCGCTCAGCGCTTTCCATGACTGGCCTGGAAGAGGAAAGAGAAGCTCTGTGAGAATGGCTCAGCCACCTGGCAGTGGCCAGGGCATGGGGACACCCAGGGAAAGGCAGCCCAGGGGTGAAGGGCTCCTGCAGATGGCTTGGCACCTGAGTGGGGTCTCACTGCTGGCACCAGGACGTGCTGGGGAATGGGTTCCCAAGTCAGGCTGTTCCCTTGTCCCAGCAGAAGGCTCAGGCAGTGCCCAGCACTTCAGTGATGTGAGAGAATGGAGATTCATGGAATGGGAACTCCTCTGCCAGAGCTGGGGATTCTGCTTCCCTCTGCCCCTTGGTACAGTCCACATTCCCTGCTTCCCTGTATCTCACATCCATAGCCTGCACCTCTGTAGACCAAATCACCTGCCCCAAAAACTCACAGCACCATATCCTGAATCCCACATCCCCACGCCCCGCAGCCCCGTGTCTCTGCATCCTGCTGCTCTGTCTGGCCATATCCTGCTTCCCGTAGTCCCGCATCCTGCAGCTCCATTTACCCATATCCTGCTTCCCGTGTTCCCACATCCCGCATCCTATAGTCGTGCATCCCGCATCCTGCAGCCTGTATTCCCATATCCTGCATCCCTGCAGCTGTGTACCCCTCAGCCCTGTATCTCTGCATCCCGCAGCCCTGTTTCCCTGTATCTTGTGTACACGCAGCTCTGCATCTTCACATCCTCAACCCACAGCCCCATATTCCCACATCTTGTAACACCACATCCCACAGCCCTTCATCCAGCAGTCCTGCATCCTTACAGCTCGCATCATTGCAGCCCTGCATTCTTGCAGCCTGCAGCTGGTAGCCCTTCATCCCACATCCCTAAAGCTTGTGTCCTGCAGCTCTTTAACCTTGCAGCCCATAGCCCTGCATCCCCCAGCTCTGTATCCCACAGCATCCCATCCTTGTACCCCAGCTCCTGCACCCCCATATTCTTGCAGTTTGCATCTCACAGTCCTGTACCCTTGAAGCCTGGCTAGCAGATCCCCATATCCTTGCATCCTACAGTCTGCTGCCTTGAATCTGTGCAGTCTGCATCCCACAGCCCTGGACTCTCACAGCACACATCCCAAATCCTTCCCTACGGCTTCATCCCACACTCCCAGTCCTGAATCCCTGTACTCTAGCAGTTCGCTTCTCCATCTCTGCATCTCTGCATCCCATTGCCTTGGATTATCAGAATGAGACTTTCCTATCCCTACACCCCCAGCCCTGTACCCCAACATTCTGAGCTCTGTACCCCTTCATCCTGCACTCTTGCAGCCCACATCCCCAGACCTGTACCTCTGTATTCCTGTATTCCCAACCCTGTACTCCCACATCTCTGTCTCCCCAGCTCGGTATCCTCCCCATCCTACAGCCCTGTACTCTTGCAGCCTGGATCCCCAACCCCACATCCCCACGTCCTTAGCTCTGTAAGCCGGCGTCCCACAGCCCCGCACTCTTGCAGCCCTCATCCCCAGCCCCGTAACGCAGCATCCCCGCATCCCTAGCTCCACACTCCCGCAGCCCCAGCCCCGCACCCCGCATCCCCGCGTCCCCAGCCCTCCTCCCACTCCGCTCCCGCTCACCCAGCATCTTGCTGAGCACGGCGTTGTGCAGGTCGGGGTTCTGCTGAGCCAGCCGCTTGCGCTCATCCTTCGCCCAGACCATGAAGGCGTTCATGGGCCGGCGGATGCGGGAGTCCTCGGCGGCCTTGCCCTCGGGGCGGCCGGCCGGGGGGCTGTATCCATAGCCCGGCTCGGGGCTGGGCGTGCGGCTGGGGGCCGCGCCGGGGGCCGCGCCGCCGGGGCCGGGGCCGAAGGCGAAGCCGGGCTCGGGGCTGGGCGTGCGGCTGGCGGGGGAGGCGGCTCCCGGGGGGCGCGGGAAGGCGAGCCCGGGCTCAGCGGCCGGCACGGCGGCGGTGACCCATGAACAGTCGCCCCGGGGTTGCGATATCTCCTCTCGGCAGTAGTTAGACTCAGATATATTCATTCCAGCTGGACAGCACTTTGTGTCCGACCCGACCGGGTGCCGGAGAGAGAATCGGGATTCCTGCCGCGTCTCACCGGGTCCAGCACCGCCGAGCAGCCGCCCGCAGTTCGCCTCCCTCGCCTGCCTTCGGGGGACTCGGGCTCGCCTGCGTTTGTTTTGGTTTCTTTTCTTTTCTTTTTTTTTT